AACCAAACAAAAAAAGGGAAAGGGGAGAAAGAATTTTTGGTTTTTTTTTTCCCCTGCTTGGAAATCCCAACCGGTGGGTTTTTCGGCCCCCGGTAAAACAATTTTACTTTCCCCCTCTCTTCGAAGAGTAAGACTCTGCCGTAAGCAAGTGAGCAGAGAGAATTAAGATAAAAACTTAAATGTAGTTGAAGAATGTGTTTGCCCTGCCCGGTAAACTACATGTACGAAAGTTCGTAGTAATCAAGATCCATCTTCAATACTAAGTTTCGTATTAGAACGGACGACCGTTTAGATGATACCAGATGAATTACCTTAATGCTCTCCTGATCAATCCAAATTTAGTTGCAATATCTAGGTCTACTGAAATTAGCATCTTTCCATAAATGGTAATGTTCAAATCTTTCCTATAACGTTGCAACCTCCCATTCATTCATTTCGCCTGTTTAATCTTGAATCGTAATTCAAGCAATTCATTGGCCTGGTTGATTTTAGATAATCTTACTTTCAAGGGAATTTAACATGCAAAACTGCAATTAGTGCGCTGTTTATTTCAGGCGGCATCGACGTTTTTAACCTCAAAATTTGAATGAATTCACACATTGCTATAGAGAAAACTGTCATTTTCTTCGTTGTTGTTTTTCGAATGTCGTGAACAATGTTCCCACCCCAAAGGGCGATTTCATTTTGTTAGAGATAATTGATGTTTCGAGCAATTACAACTAGTGATTTCAAACCACGCATGCGATATTTCAACCTAGTACATATTCGGCAAAGATGAAGAATTTTTATTTTATAAAACACTAAGTATTTTAGTTTGAGGGGAATTAATCTTTTCAACCAATTTTTGTGATTTTTTTCTTTAAATGAAAGGAATGTGTATACTGGGTGTGTACACTTGCTCTTATATATAAGAAAGTATAACTATATTTAAAAATTAATATAATGAACGTTATCTGCCATCGTTTGTTCTTTACATCGGTTTTCGAGGACCTAATACAGAGGTGATCTGGATAATTTTGTTTTGTGAGTTTCAATTATATTATGTATATATGTATATATTGATATATTGCTATATATGTATATATGTATATGATATATATATATAATAGTATATATATATTTATATATATAATCAGAAGCAGTCACCTTTTTTTCGCCGTTTAAGATCAAATATTACAAAGTAAAGCGTTCGTAATATAGCAAGATTAGTGAGTGTATTATGAACACAGCACCCAGTCGTCTGACATGTGACTTCTAAAAATTGCTTTTCATATGATGGCGGCCTCCTAGCAGTTTCCAGCACATTGCCTAACTGTTGTGTTTAAGTGTGATCTACGTTGATTGGGTAACACTTTGAAGATGGAAGAGTGCTTCCCCGAGAGTTGACTGGGAAATCTTTTATTAAATAATAAAACTATTATTGTTGTTGTGGTTGATTATTTCTTAATTCACATTATTGGAAGAAGTTTGTTTCCTTAAGGTTAGCTGCATTAATGGATTGGTATCTCGACACTGAATAATTGTTCGTTCCGTTGTCTTCATTGTACTGCGTGGTGATAGCAGATTCTGGGAAGGAAGTAATCTTACATCTGCACTTTGCATGTGCTGATCCATGGTTCTCGTCGCTCATGAGTGACATGGAGTTTTGGGTAATTTGTAGTTCTATCCGGACTTCTTTAATGACCTCAAGGCGTGTTTTGGAGCGAAGAAGAGTTCTATATTCATAAGCAAATCGTTGTTCGTAAGTGCAATATTGGAAAACGTCAGTGCATATTCTCAAAATAAACTGTACCTTAACCAGTCACACCAGTATCCAAATTTGTGACTTGATAATGGATGCGCACAATGCTTCTATTAACATCACTAGTCCATTTCTTGCGCTGTCGTGGCAGCCTTTCTTGAGTCGTGGTAGTCCTCCTGGCTGAAAGACCTGCGTAACACCCCGGCTATAGGTAAATCTGTTGAGAGAGATTGACTTTGTTTGTTGCCAGCAATAGCTTTTTGGAAGACTGGTGCTTGCTGACACCGCGGCCGGTCATTGGCGGATTGCGGTCTTGTCCAGCGCCAACTCCAGACACTCCCCGGCGCTTCCCAAGCATCCCATTACGAGACCTTATGGCTTCTTTGGCGTCTCTCATTTCAGTATGGGTGATTGCCATAGCCCCGGGCATCATTATAATGGCTGGCAATTGCCCTTCTTCCGCGTGACAAAGTTCTTGCTTAACACATGCTGTCAAAGGGTTAAGACATACAGAAAGAAGGGGGTATGTCTTGGGGGAGTTTGTATTTCACCTAAAGAAGGAAAACGACTTGAGAAAAGAGTTTAGGAGAGGGAAAGGCGGAATAATGAGTGGCGGTTAACTTTTACAGGAAGTGACAGCGAACAGCTGCTCCGGTTAGTCTCCTCTTACGACAGGCGACAGGGGGAGATCACATCGTGGTATTTTTCTCAAACTCCCGAACACCGCAAGGAGTTTATTGTTATAATAATAATAATAATAATAATAATAATAATGCTAGATGTTTATTATACTACTACTACTATTACTACTACTACTACTACTATTATTATTATTATTATTATTATTATAAACAGCTTAGTAAATCCTATTAAGGAGAAAGTCCTGCTGAGTCAGCTGGTGGTTTATCCGCCTGATGCCGGATCTGAGATATATTCAGTTCAGTATATGTAGTCATTTTTACATATTTGACACGTTTTGTCACTTTTAATTTAATTTAGAGACTTTGACATTTGATATTCTGACATTTAGGATTCTGTCATTTTAATTCTAAAAGTATCAGCATTTACTACTCTTGTAATGTTTTCAAACTTTCACTTATTTTTTTGTCAGGTAATTTACTCCTTCATTAGATATATCAAAGGTTTAGGAATATTTTGATTCCTACCTATCCAGATCCAGGATATTGTGATGCTTTGAAATACGATGCATTATGGGACTGTGTGAGTGGTTATGAAATTAAATACCGGTCAATATCTGGAGTGATAACATTAAAAAAATATATACACTGTTTCAAACCGGTTTACTTTTCATTATATTTCAGTGGTGAAATTTAAATATTTGGAATTTCTTCCAAACATCTTATGATGTTGGATAATGGAGTTGCTAGTTATCACAGCACAATGCAAAAAAATCTTTGCGTGTCAGAATCGAACTAGCAACCTCAGACTTATAGAAATATATTTTTGTTAACAAGCGCCTTTTACAGACTACATAACCATTTTTTAGTATTATTTTAGTTCAAAAATAGTATGTTACCGTCTTTTGAGAACTGATATACTGAAGAGCAAACGTTTGTGCAGTTTTATTTAAAAATACAAATAAAAAGGTGTAAAACCTGTTTGAAAAAAGGTATCAATAATGCGGCGTTTTAATGTCCCCTTGGGTCAAAAATTGGATTTCAGTATCGTGAACCATTTAGAAATCATTGAGGATATATTAAAAGCTGCCATCTCTGAGTCACCCTGTAATACACTATTGGCCATTCAATAAATACAGGAAAGCACTTACTCTGTGCGCTGCAATGACTAGCAACGCGCTCACCATCGCTTGCCCCGCATCTATTATCGCCACCGCTGCCAGCACCACGCCTCGCTCTGCACACACGGGAGCAAACAGATGCCATTATAGTGCAGTATATATTCGCTTGATAGTCTATTGCAGTTATTAGTCCTTAATAACCACCGAGATCCAACATTAACATCACTCAGTGCCAATATGTCGCTCCCTTGACTTGAAAAGGTTGCCGTAGCTTTGTACTGAACTTTCAAATTTTGTTATTTTCTTGCGTTATTATATTGCCGACGGAACAATTATATATAATTGCAGAGTTTATCGACTCAATAAGGAATTCATCCTTTTACCGAAGTCATTTCGATTTTGTTTCTTTCACGCGGCTAACGGGCCTGTTACTAAAACCTACCATTGAAAATAAAGACATTAATAAAAGCCACTAGATAGAACTTGTAGGATAGAATAATAATAATAACACATACATTTTTTTAAATCGTTGGTTAAAACTGTCAGAAATCTTAAATAAGTTGTTTAAGATGATTGCAGAGTGTTTTTTAAGAGAACTTTACCTACAATTACCTTCGTGGCGCAAAATGACAGATCGAGATCAGAATATTAACGTAGATGCCATGCTTGGAGATTTTCAGGGTCACGCTTAGTGACGTCGTGTTCATGATTCAAGCGCTGTTACATAATTTACTGATTATGCTACCGACGTCATTTGTGTTTACCCCTAGGACTGTTTGAATCCAAGTTTATTTACAAACAGATTGTTTCCCACGAAATCTTTACCGCACTGTAAGATTGCACGACCCTAGTACAATGGACCATATTATTTACAAGAAATTCAACATTCTGTGATTACTGACGGAAACAAAACAATGAATAAATTACGCGCTGATTAAAATAAATTTGAATATACATGTAAAAAGGTATTACTGAAACGTTGTTATTACATAGAAAACCCAGATAAGAAAAAATATTGAAAATGATTCTTAGTAAATAAAATTGGAAGAATAAAATAGCTGATATCCGTAAAATGGTCTACTTAAATATTTTTTAATAGTTTAGGAAAACGACCAAGACGGTAAAGTGTCGGTAAACTTAAAAAAGTTCTTTCGGCATCTCTTCAGCTTAATTCGAGAAATAGTACGATGGAAGATCATTCCGCTACAAAGGTTCTATCTTCTCTCTCCATAAACCAATTATGTTTTTCAGTTCCACTCAATACCCAAAGCTAGAAAAGTATTTGTCCAGAAATTATGCAAATTTCAAAAAAAAAAAAAAATTATCTGCGGTGAAGAAAAAATAGAGAAAATTAAGGGAAATTTATATTTTTCTCAAATAAAAAAATACCCACTCTTCTTTAGAATTCTTTCATTTAACTCTTCTTTACATCGTTGGGAACGAAACAAACATAACTTTAATCTCGTTTGGATGCAATTAAGGCGAGAGGGCGTGCTAGTGAACTCACCTGTTCGTGACCATTTCGGCCACAAGGAGTCGTCGTCGTCGACCACCAAGACGTCAGTGTCCGTCTCTTCCAACTCCATTGCCGCGCCCGCCGTCATGAAGCAGAAGCCGACGCTGGACATTACCTGCGCAGTCCACCGCCCGCGCCGCCGCAGACCAGCGGTTACAGGTAATGAAATACCTGCGCTTCTAATAAAGTTCGCACTCCAGGCACTTTCATTACACCCGCGGAATGTCTTGGCTTTATACTGCCCTTGCGTTTGATATGGTACGTCGGGGATTCTGAATTATAATTAAATTCTTCTCGAAGAAAAATGTTTTGCTTTAGCTGTAGTAATACATAATGAATGCATAAAAATATTTATTTAAGGGAGTATTCTGATTTTTAGATGTCTTAAGTAATCAAAAATAGGGAAATGCTTGGCATCTGATTTGTGAAAAAGTGATAAGCAGAAAATATTTGTTATTTTATGGTATTCATTAATTTTTTTTTTACTCGAAGGAATTCAAAGAATCCGAATCAGACTCGTGACAGTTTTAATAAATGAGTTCATTCCTTTTGCAAATTAATTTACTGTACACGTGAACCACTTATTTATAAACGTTGGGTGGATATGAATGTAATTTCTGTGGTTTTAAAATTAGTGAGTGTTAAAATAATATGGACGGAGGCAAGAGACATAAGTTAAAAAAAGTATATTTTCTTAATAATCCTGCACTTCTAAGATATTAGATAATTATTGTTTGTTTTTAAAGACAATAAGTAAAATAATTTACTATGTATTAGACTGTAATACTGAATTAAATGCCTATTTTTAGATCCTTATTATTACAAAATATTGCTAAAAAATGTCAAAAGCATTACTTACCAGACTGAGATATCCCACGATGAGTGTTTTTCGCTTTACAAAGGCTAAGTAGTCTAAAAGGTCGATCATGTCGGAACGTCGATCTGATGTGCGTCTAGGTGGTGACATCTGAAATCGTTCAAAACAAAAACAGTGTATTGAAGGGGTTAGATATTGAATAATATGGCATAAGAATATACCGTTCATAATGGCAATATATTCACATACTATAATCTTCAATACTGGTACAACCCGAAGAGCGAAGTTTTTAGATATAGTATGTATTTAATGTTTTCGGTTATAGTTGACCGGGAAGTATCGCATTCTTAAGACTTAATTGATTATTGAGTAAGTATTACTAGAATGATCTTTTGGAGTCTTGTTAATGATATAAGTAATGTAAAATTTGATCTTAGCTGAACATTCGTATTTTTTGGGATTTATTGTATTGCTGTTCATGGACTATACAAAAAATAGTGAGACTTGAGATTGAATCAAATTGAAAAAAGGAATTTCCTTTGCTGGACATGTGGCACAATTTAAAGCTTCTCATCTATCAATTTATAAGCTGTTTATAAATTAAACAGCTTATAAGTGATTATATAAATTACAAAAAAAAAATTGATCATTTGTAACCAACAATATTGAAGAATTACCTGTCCACTCATTCAAATTTAATGTAATTTCAAAGCACGTTATTTGAATGTAGAGGAACTATTTCCGAATCTCTTTTTACTCACCGTGCTAAAGCACCTGCAGCCCGTAGCAGATTATCGGATCACGTCACACCGCGCTCGACTTGCGCGACATTGCCGTGAGGGACGGCGCCGCTGGCGAGTCGGCGCGCTGGTGGGTGGCAGGCACGGCGCTGCGTCCCGGCGCGGCGCGGCGCTCTGGCGTCGAGGCGCTGTTCCACGCTCCGCCCCGCCCCACACCGCTGCGCCCCTCCCCGCGTGCCCGCCGCAGCCCGCCGTGCCCCCGCCCGCCCCGCGCACCCCTACCCCTCCCTCTCCACCCCATCCTCCCTTCCCACCCTCCCCACCCTCCTACCATCCCGCGGCTCCCACCCACATCGCCGTGCCTCTCCTTGCCCTGCCCGCCGGCGCCGCCCCGGCCTGCCCCTCCCTACTCCCCTCCCCTCTCCACCCGCCCGCGCGCGCGCTGTGCCTCCCCGCACCTCCCCGCCCCTCCGACGCCATCTCGCGCCTCTACACCCGTCCGCTCCACCCGCCCCATCCTGCCTCTCCTGCCCCTTCCCTAACCGCCCTTCGCGCCGCCGCTCGCTCCACACCCGCCCCTCTCCCCGCCCCGCCGCGCCCTTCCTCTCGTCCTCTCCACCCACCCGCCCGCGCCTCCCCGCGTCCGGCCTCTTCGCCCTTTTCGCCCCTCCCCCTCCGCCCCTCTCCCGCCCCTCTCCACCCCGCTATGTCCCGCGCTCCCTCCTCACACCGCCGTTTCTCCTCCCCGCCCGACCTTCTGTCCGCTCCGCTCCCCGCTCCGCCCACACCACCGTACCCTCTCTGCCCCGCTCCACCCACCGCCCCGCTCGCCGCCCGCCCCACCCTCCCCGCTCGCATGCGCTAACCGTGTCACTCCACGCCGCACGCGCCCCGCCCCGCCCCTCGGCGCCGTGTCGCTCCGCGCCGCTCGCGCCCCGTGTGCGCCGCTTGTTAGCGCCCTCCGCCCGCCTTTGCAGCCGCGCGCACTGCCGCCGTCTTAAGCTTTGGGCGAGATTCGCGGTGCGAAGGACAAGAAACTGCTCTCACTCCTGCTCGATTTCTGTCTTATGTAATGCGCTGATGTAATGTTGCGCTTCTACTCCAGGGGTGATGAGAGAAACTTTGGTGTTAATCATAAGCAGTAAAACCTAGAATTTTTTTTTGAGGAATGCAGCTGTTAAGTTCTCTCACGATTGCGGTTGGGCAAATGACGATGTGGATACACATGTGATTGTAGTGCAAACAAAACTTTACTGTATTTTTTAATTGTTTTGTTTTATAGACATGTGTCATGTTTACATAGGAAGTGCGATTGCTGATTAAGACAAAAAATGTTTTCTCAAGTTACAATGGAGAGCTAAATTGTGCTCCATTTCTGATCTGTTACATATGTAAAACTCGTGTTTAAAATAAAATAATTTTCTCTTCTAAGTCATTAAACGTTGTTGATTTTAAAAATGCGTATCACATTTATATATACTATATATGTATGTATGTACGTATATGCTACATAGATGAATGTATTATATATGCTGTCACATTTACATTTTATAATGACATATAAATTTACATTTTATAAAAGCTCTATTATCAATAATTTTAAAAAGTGTATGGTGAATGGAATATTTGGCGCTATTATTGCTGTTTAGTAGATTTCAAAAAGTATCTGGGTAAAATGAATTTAATCACCACCATTACGTTTATTGAGTTATATAACATAAATAGAAGAGCTAAAAATAAATTATAATAAATAAAAGAAGTTATAAATATATAAGTATTAGTAGTAGGGCAAATGTAGAATTTCAAGTGGAAGAATCAAAAACTGATTAACAGTAGAGTTTTTCAAACATTAGAGAAAACAATGATATTCACGAAATGCAAAGAAAAGTAATAAATATCTTTATGCTATGAAACTTTCTCTTGAACTTCTTCTTGAACTTCTTCTTCACTTGAATAATTTCTCCCGTTTTTAACATGAAATGCTCATGCACTGACTTTTTGATCATGAAAATTGTCAGTAAAATTCAGATTTTGATATTGCAAGATTCTCATTATGGTCTTTGCTTGGCAAAGTAACACATGCTTGAAATTGTATCAGAAATATACAGAGAAAGAGATAAAGATTGAAAAGGAGAACGGAGAGAAAGAGGTACAGATGGAAAAGGAGAGAAAGAGAAAAAGAGATGGAAAGAGAAAGTAGAGAGAAAATGAGAGATAATACCAACTTATATTCAGTGGCAGCTGGTGCTCCCTGAATCTGGAGATTGCGACTCACAATCAAATGACGGAAATGTAATTGAAAAAAATACATTGTCTAAACTGATCTCCTGTAATGGAAATGCGAAATATTGCTAATTGCAAACTATTTATATGGTTTTGGAATACGTCATGTTTTATCTAACATTTTATTCTGTGTTTTAAATCTTTACATATAAGAAACAGAAGAGATTTCTTATGTTATTCGTTATATTTAAAGCCAGACTAAAACCATATACCGTCACCTCCAAACAACTTACAGAGAAAACAAAACAGAGCTGTCTTCAAACGACGCTCACATGTTTACGTGTATTTACAAAATCAATTTTGAATATTTTTTCAAATGTTCTTTCTTATAATTTTACGTTGTCAATAAAATTTAGAAACCTTGTAATTGAGTTTCTAGATCCCTTTAATTTCTAGTTTTTCAACTAGGCGTGAATAAAAATATTTTTTTTTAATTTCCCAACGAGTGTAAACTAAGGAAATCAATATTTAAATTTTAATTTTTCACTAACCTATAGGTAAAAACAACAGAAAAATTCAAGCCCACAAGGGGGAATGATTCTTACTTCGTTAAAGAAGATTTGTCACTTCATAAGAATAGACAGCAGCAGCAGCAGCGTCGACAACAATGTAACTTATTAACAAAGAATAATTGCGTTTCGAATTTTCAATCTCACTCGTATGCGTAAAGAAGCAACATGAATTGAGGATAAGCACTTCACCCAATCACACACAGAGGATAATCAACTGCTGATCAATAGAACGAGGCACTTACATCCAAGGTCATCAACCTTTCCACAAAAGTAACTGCACTCATCAAATACACATTTTAAATCAACAAATCTAATATGAAATAAAATAATTGGCCATGCATGATAAAATATCCACTTAATAATGTCAAAAATAAATCGAACTTGTGCATCTTAAAAATAATGTAAATTAATAAAATTAAGATGTGTGTAAAGTTATATCACAAGGTAACAGAAAACTGGTATTCCCTACGACCTACAAATAGATGATCAGGGTGCTGACAGTGACGGTAACAGAATTTGGCATTTAATATGTACCTTTGGAGTAGTAAGAACGCGCGAGGAAAACCGAGTAATCTCAATGTTGATGAATAGAAACTTGCAGTCGGGAGGCTCTTAATTGGGATTCTTAATCGTCCTTATAAGAGAGTCACATTAGTACTGTCCTGACCTGCAACTAAAGGTAAAAAAGATGGGCGGTCTTTGCTTTCAAAAGGTTTCGTACATCAATATTGCTGCAATATATTCATTATTGAATTAAATATAATCGTAAAGATATATTTATAATATAATGAGAAGTCTTTTACGATTATCTGGGGGTCGTGCAAATGTGCAACCCGAACATGAACAATCATTAACCTGTCCTTGAATGTCGGTGACTAGCAATATGCAGACACCATGCAACAAAAAAAGGACAAAAAAAGAACAAAAAACGCGAAACCATTTTCTCAAGGTGATACGTGTGCTTGTCTCATGGTATTTTTATCTGAATATGGTGAAATGGTAGAATATGTCTCAACACCTGCTTTATATTTCTCATCGTTTGCTAATGAACTGATTGTAAAATATTCGTTAAGAATTTTTTTCTGTCAGTTGAACATGTTACCTGTTCATTGTGTTTACTCATTGATGTTGTAAAGAAACACTCATGGTTTGAGAAAAAAGTTAAATTTTTGATATTAACAAGTTAATAATTCCTTTTCAGCGATTTAACTTACTAGAAGATTTACTAAATTATTGCTTAACATTCAAAATCAAATCGGAAATGACACATATTTTCATTTCCGTAAATTCACAATACAATTTCATTGTTATTAATATATGAAACTAATATATTATTTAGTACTTTTTAATGATTTTCATAATTTAGGTACAAGAGTTTTGAATTCACTTTTATTTACATATAACATATAACATACATATATGGCGTCATCACTAAATAAGGAAAGTATTATAATATATAAATATAGTATCTAGTACACAATAAAGCGTCGTATCAATAAAACTACACATCTCTTTTAAACTCGATGTAGCAAAGTATATTATTTGCTGTTGACTAAGACATTGCCAAAGTTAATTAGGGAACTGAAATTAGTGGGAAGGTAAGTGTATTTAAGTA